TATTTGATCCAAAATACAGCAAAAACAGTAACATTTTGAAATATTTTTACTATTTAAAATTACTGTTTTCTATTTGAAAATATAATTTATTCCTGTGATTTCAAAGCAGAGCTTTAGCATCATTACTCCAGTCACATGATCCTTCAGAAATCATTCTAATATTCTGATTTGCTGCTCAAAAAACATGTATTATGATGTTGAAAACAGCGGAGTAGATTTTTTTCAGGTTTCTTTGATGAATAGAAAGTTCAGAAGAACAGCATTTATCTGAAATAGAAATCTTTTGTAACATTATAAATGTCTTTATCATCCTTGCTAAATTAAAGTAATAATTTCTGTAATATACATTTTAAAAAGAGCTTTTGAATGGTATAGTGTATAATGTTACAAAAGCTTTTTCTTTCCGATAAATGCTGATCTTTGGATCTTTCTATTCATCAAAGAATCCTGAAAAAAATGTACTCAACTAGTGTAGGCTGATTATTCTTATAGATTGAAACGTGCATTAACCAGGATAACGAGTATGAAACATGCTCCGAGTTGCTTCAGAAAACAAAAAAATAGAGCAACAACAACAAGCATGTTGCTGGAAATGGGTTTATTATTGAAAATGCAAACTGTTTGTCTGCCAGCAGGAGGCGCTGTGAGCGGTGGAACTAACGGTTTCTCCAGTAATGGCTGTAAACAAAGCAGCTCCGCTCATGAACGCTACTTTATCAGATAAAAATGCCATCTAAACTATTCTGAAGACAGTCGGTTCCCTTCAGAGATACATTCATATAAAACACCCGCGACTCGTTTTGATTTTGAAACGTGCAGTGCTCATGTTTATTCAACGAAGTCAAACGGTACAAATAAATCAATGTATGGGAAACACTGGTAATGTATATCGAAATATCGGAAATGTGTTTAAAAATCATATCACCGTTACTGATCATATCGCGATACATATTGATATTGAATTATTGTCCAGCCCTAATCATGCCTGAAAAATCTCTTATTAAAGAGACATGGCTTTTCAATCTTTGACACTCAATTAAGGCCTTCAGTCAGTGCCTCTACCCTTTGCTCCATGCTACCTCCACTGCATACAGGGGACATATATAGAGAAACTCTGCCTGCACCAAGGAGATGTAGAGTATAACACCTGGAGAAAGTTTTTCATTGGCATCCCTATACATCTCAATGGCAACCGCTTGGCTGTTACGTGATCCCCTGGGAGAAAGCAATTTCAGATCTGTCATCTTTGCTCATGGGCAGGCACTCTGTGCTTTCGAAAAGCCGTCAGATGCTTCGGTTCCCATAATGCTGAAGTTACTGTATCTACCAGTAGAGTATGCACATCTTTATGAAAAAGTGACTCAAACTACTGTAAGGAATTAAGCCTTCAAAGTAAAAGGTAGTTCTGGGTGATTACGAAAAGCAGATAATTGTTACAACCGATAACCAATAAATGGCCAATATTAAAATACTATACCTAATTAGTAAATTAAGAATAAAATACTACAAACTAATATTAATCATTTTAAATGCTTGAAGTAAATTTATGCATCACAACATTGTAACATACAGTATAAAACATGTATATTCATTTTGAGGTTGCCAAAGATTACATTCAACAGTGCTATTTTAAAATATTAGTGCTTTTAATGATTAATTGTTTCAATGAGTAGTTTCAATGATGACAAAGATAGTATAAATGTAAAAAATGAAATAGGGCTGCAACTAACGATTATTTTGATAATCGATAGTTGGCCGATTTTTTTCGATTAATCCGATAAAAAAAAGCCAAATATTCTTTTTTTTGTTTTATTGACAAAAAACTCACTATTCCACATTCTGCCCAATGTCCTTCAAACTAACGTGCCAACTAAATGCTATGAAAACATACAGTGCTACATTTATTAGACCACCTGTCATAAAGAGAAAACACAAATATTTTAGGAATGTCAAATAATTAATGTCATAAAATAAACAAATAGTATTTAGTCACATAATAACAAAAATGGCCTCCTATGCCTTTCATAACAGCTTGCATTCTTGCTCCCATCGTTTAGGTACTTTTTGAGTGTAATTGGGCATTTGGAAAAAACACTATAAAGTGCTTGACTATTTTTTCTGCCTTTCTTTCATAGACAACAGCAATAATCATATTACAGCATTAGAAATAGCCTAATGTTACTAAAGAGCTTACACAAATTGGAGGACTAACCTATACAGAAAGCTAAAAATGATTGGTAATCACCAATACTGTTTAGAGCAGCAGTGGCACAAACCTAAATTAATTTGTTAAAAACCTTACATAAATGTTGTTTTAATAAATTTGTTAAGCACTGTATAGTGAATATAGTTTAAATCTCTACATTAAAAATTTAAATAATAATAAAAATAATAAAGACAAATAAAATCACAAACTCAGTGTTGACCAACAGGTGAGAGTAATGTTCTGCAGGAACACACGTTCACTTTGATCACAGTCACGTCTTCCTGTCATTTCTTTATCCTATAAAAGACGGTTATGAAGCGTCTGATATTTATATTCAGATAATTACACGCTGTTATCGGTTCCTACTATCATAAAATGCGTGCACTACATGTTGACTTTTAAACCTAAATTTAACGTTCAACAACAGATATTTCAGCACAGTGAATGTTTTGCGCTGAATATTAATTTTCTCCCTGTATCCGCCGCTTATTCAGATTTAAACTTAACGCAGATTGTCAGGGCGGGCCTTTATGCAAAAATGGAAATGCTTGCGTGAATTTGTGACATTTACAGTTAAGGATATGACCGTAAACTGAAAGTTTACGCATCTGTCAAACTGCCTGACAGGGCAAGCCATTAGCCTACGCTAATGCATTAAGTTAGTTTAAATCTTAAAATAAAGAATTCTCATATTTTAGGCAGCTTGGTTCACGTACTTCTCCCACAGCATCTCATTCTGTTTCCTCCACTATTTTTGGATGCATTTTGTAATTCAGTGCTGTAATTTGAAGTGACCAGCTGAAGTTGGACGTGCACTGTGGGCAGACCAGACTAATCGATAATGAGAATCGTTGTCGATTATTTTCATTATTGATAATAATCGATTTGATCGATTCGTTGTTGCAGACCTAAAATTAAATATACAATATTGACCAATACAGAGATAAAAATCTGTAATATTCCCTAAAATAGGGACTCAAAAACTACAGTAAAGAACAAAAGGTGAAAAAAAATAAAATAAATAAAAAACACTCCTATTTTATCTGCTCAGCAGTGTTTAAAGGGGTCCTATTATGCTCTTTTACAAAGTCTTGATTTTGTTTTGGGGGTGTACTAGAACATGCTCTCATGCTTGGTGGTTCGAAAAACACATTATTTTTTCACATAATTTACATTATTAAAATACCTTTCTCCCCAGGCTGGCACAAACGGCTCGATTAGTTCCGGCTTTGATGAAGGTCCACCTTCCGAAAAACTAAATGTGTTGTGATTGGTTAGCTGTCCCAGTGCGTTGTGATTGGCGAACAGCTTAGACGGTGTTTCAGTCCTGCCACGCCCCTTGCTCTGTCTTTCAACAAAAGCTTTTGGGCGAATCCGGCACTACTCACTCGTGATGTGGAAGTCAGACTCGCGTCTGTCCGCGGCGCCCAGCTACGTCGTGTTATATTTGTAAGAATTGTTCTAGACATGCCAGAAATCTGACGCTACAGCACAGCAGCTCTTCTTGGTTTTCTCTGACGCACTAACTCTGCAGCAGCACTTCTTCGTCGTCGTCTCGTCTGATGCATTCACTCAACCAAGCGTTCTAACCACGACCTCGCCCCTCCCCACCCCCCAACCATTCTAATTTCTGAAGGCGGGAATTATCTGTAATGATATTCCAATGAGCCGCTTTGTGATATCACAAAACCCGGAAAACAAACGCTGTAGTCCAAACGAGCCGTTTGCTGTAGTTCTTGAAAAGGGATTTTTAAAAAAACAAAATATCTCCCTTTGGAGTGGACTTTGAGATTTGTAACTTTCTAGATCTTTTTAATGCCCAAACATACACACTACACACTGACTAAAATTTTTAAAAGTGAAAAAGCATAATAGGACCCCTTTAAGCTATACCAACATTACAGTGTCTCTCATAACATCAATGCTTGCTTTGATTCTGATCTCTGTAAATGTTGTTGCGCAAATTTGGGCAGATTTTTTGGATATAGCCCTCCACAGCATACTAGAGGCCTTATGGCGACTAGATGTAATTACAAGATATAAATGCACAGTTAATCCAGATGTTATTAAATGATTCTTGAAACAATTCATTTAATCTGATCACTTCTCTCCATGTTTGCCAGTGGCAATACAAGCACTAGTAAATTGGACACTCTGCCTCCAACATTCAGCCAATGCTGTACTGCGTGTCTATGACAGCACACATGCAGGATGAACACAGTGTGACTGTACTGGGGACTGAGGCCTGACACCCAGGCGTGTCAAAACACTGTACTGAAGGAACAAAAGGTCACTTGGGACAGAGAGGCAGGCATGACTTTGTATGCAAGTGTGGCGAGTTCCACGTCCAGTATCTAAACTCATCTAATGAAGTGTGTGGAGCGGCGATGAGGTCGTGCCGCATGGCTGCAGCTTAATTCCTTTGCATTTTCACCTTCAGACTAAAAGGAGGAGAACACAGTGATATGCAGTGGCAGAGATACACTGCCCAGTGATGAGGGAAAAGAGAGAGAGATTATTTGTGCCCTTCTCCATTAATGTCCATGGGCAGATAAGACAGAAGGGAAGCGTTAATTAACATGGGCTTGAGAGGGACATTTATTTCCCCTGAAAAAGCTGTTCTTAGTTCTCTGAGCCAACATCACTGCCCTAACATAAACTCTCTCTGTTCAGATCTTCATCTATGTGGCTGCCTGCACAAACTTCCCTCATCTGAAATAACTATGAAACTGAACAGCACAGAGAGAGAAGAAACACACAAACTTCTAATAATCAATAAGCAATGATAACGTACCTCCTGTCCGGAGAGGTAGTATGCAGCCAGAAGCCCTCCAATGAAGCGGATGTTGACCTCAAAGACAGATACTTCTGCATTCTGTAGAAACAGAGGAGAAAATGAGAAAGAGTAAGAGCAGAACAGTGATTGCCTACTTTTTCAGGGTCCTTGGTTCCCTAAGTATTTGTCTTGTTTTAGGAATTGTAAAAAAAAAAAAACTCAATAAAGAGTCTTTCAATTCAGGGGAATATTACTAATAATAAATGTTTTAATATCAATGTTTAAGACAAATGTTAAAAACTACTCCAGTCTTTAGTGTCACATGGTCCTTCAGAAGTCATCCTAATATGCTGATTTGGTGCTCAAGAAACACTTCTTCTTTTTAGCAGTGTAGATTGAACTGCTTAATTGATTTATTGCTTAATATTTTTGAAGAAACTGTGGCATTTTTTCAGGAATCTTTGGAGAATAGAATCAAAATAGAATAGATGCATTCTTGCGGAATAAAAGTATATATTTGATTAAAAAAATATATTTATATATAAAATACAATATATTTGAAGTTTATTGCAAAATATTTCAATATAATCAGTTTGTAAGGAGAACAGTGCTGTTAAAAATGAAAGTAATTTTTTTATTTTCAGAACATAACTGTTGCGCTATTTATAATTCAAACAACCATTTAAGCAGCTTTATTAATGTGCATGAAATATCTACATGCAGAGCTCCCAAATGAACTTCAAATCTACATCAAAGCTGATACAATAATCTCTCAGTGAGACTGAAATGAATGCTGGAGCAGAGTGCGTGTGTGTTTGTATCATCAACATCCATCTTGTCAGCTTCTACCTTTATTTAGAGAAAATTACCATAAAGCAGTTTTCCACTTGCACAAAGATCACACTGCAAACAGCAGCTAATCACACACACCCCTTTAAGTCTCGTCTAGCAAAGGAACTAATTCAACCAATGCAGAAAAACAAATCTAAACACAGTGAAGTTCAATGGTATGGTTGTACAAGCTCCCGAAATCCTGTTTAGTCCCGTCACAATCCCATAATCCACAGCACCTAAAAACAGCACCTGTTTTTGTATGCTACTTATGAAATATAAGTAGGTTTTCCAGTTCTGAACATAACGCTGCTAAAGCATCTTATATTGACTGTTTCACACTAATTTGATAAGACAAGAACATGCTTTAACCAACCCCTTTCACTTAGCATTCATTCAGCATGTCTATTAATTTTGACAAAAGTGAACATGCACCAGATTAATTCAGATATGACCGTTCCCTGACCAAGGTTCATTAATTCAGTTTTTGGTTTAACAGCTGCGATTAATGCTGATGGCAGGCAGCCTCATCCATCATCACAACAGAAACAGAGAGAGAGAGAGAGAGAGAGAGAGAGAGAGAGAGAGAGAGAGAGAGAGAGAGAGAGAGAGAGAGAG